AGATAGGTGGTGTGTAATAATTGAGTTTTCAACGGCAAATGAAAACATGAGTAATTAATAATTACTGCATTTGACCGTCACAGTTGCAGTCATGTGCTCAACACTCCGTAAGCAAATAAAACGTTTTCGGACTGCTATTGTAAAAATAAATTAAATTGTATTTTTAGTATCTAGTATTTGACAATATTGATTCTGTCTCGGCTGTGTTTCTGTAAATTCCTTCAGAGATATTTATTTCATCGTTGAAAAGGTTTTAAAAACCAGTTTTTGTCAGTTTTTCGGAAAAGGGTGATCGGCAGCATAAAATTTGTGAAGTATTTGATGATTTTTGGAGTGCTTGGATTTGCTGCTGGAAAGAGTATTCTGCTCAACCAACAACTTTCTCGCAAAGATCGGTTATTGTGGAGAATTAAATGCATTCGGTCAGGTCAGTCACCTCGTGGACCAGGTCTCGAGTCCTTATTTCACCATGTTGACCTCACAAGGGGTAATTAATTGTATAATATGACACTGGGGCTAAGGTGACAGCGATTAGGATGTCAGTAATTTAAACCTTTTCTGGAGGAAATCTGCCTATCACTATCAAATCAGCCGTTGAGATGTATACAATCCATGCCGCTTACGCAATGAGGCAGGATTTTGTTGTTGGATCCCTGGTACTACGTAAGAAAACATGCAATTTTTTTAAAATCAGGATTCCATTTATCAAACCAAAGTCATTCAAACCACCCTGGAAGATGAGAATGTATTCTAGAAAAAAAAAGGATCTAGCGGCGCCCGTGAAAAAGTAATTAATCATGTAAAAATATGTTTTGAATAAATGAATTGGTTTGATAACGTCTAGATATTCTAAAATAAGAAATATTGATGGATCTTTCTTTTCAAAAGACTAAAGGACATATGCAGCGTATCTTACCTGTTGTTAATTTTTTAAAGATATTCTCAAGTTAAGATTAATTTATAATGTAATAAGATGTTCATAGGCAAGAAAAAAACAACATGCCTTTCCTTTTTAAAGATAATAACTGGTGAAAGTTTTTGGATGATTCAAAGAAAAATTGAAAAAAAAATACTTAACAAATATTCTAAATGTTTCTTTTATTCAAAGTTGTAATACATGTAGAAGAAGTGTACAACACCATATATAGAAGTTAAAATATAACACGCAGTTAATTCAAGAGTTGGGACTCTTCAGCTCCATGGGAAACGACAAAAATGCAAATTGCATTGCGTTTGACCTTAAGAAGCATAATAAAGGATTTTTTACTTAACTAAAAAAAACAATAACAAAGAAATGTTAATGAAATATCTTTTCTGGAATTACATGTATCATATTTAAAAATAAATATACACATAGGTTTTGGATTATTAAGAAAATAATCTGTGTTTTGCAGCCTACCTTAAAAATGTTTAATTGTTTTCTGGAGACCCGAGTAAAATTTAAAAGATAGGTTTCAAATGATTTTCTTCCATAACCTAAAAACAGTTATTGACGGTAAAACAGAATTAAACTGCAGGATGCATAAAACAAAAATAATCGTTTCCAGATTTTCTTCTAACAAAAGGCCTACGGTTTTTTTTTCTATCCACTTTAGGCCTTTGGTTGGGAGAGAAACAGACTATATAATTAATGCAAATATTTTATTTTAAAATAAGTCTTTGTGACTATTTCATATATTTAGAGGAAGGATAACACAGTTGATCATATGCTGGTTTACATTGTTGTTTTATTTATTAGACCCCATTCCACAGGAATCAAATAATAAGTAAAGAATTCAATATAACTCTATACAATAAATAACAATTAATAAGCCTATAGTAAATATATTTATCCAATTAAGGATAAATATCACAATTTTTTTTCCCAGAAAGTAAATAATTTTATGCATTCTGAAGCCCTTCTCACTAAAGAAGAAATATTCGACCATGTGATAATTTGATGTTTGAAAAATTCACTAAAATTTTTGGGAAAGTTGGAAAATGTATGTTTTTAGTTCAATATTTTCTTTTAAAGTTTCTAATTCATTTTCTGCCATCTTTAAGAATAATTTTTATTTATAAAGGTATGCAGATCATTATCCTGAGTCAAGTATTTCATGGAACATTTTTTCTTATTGTCTCTCGATTATAATCAATATCCTAAAAATGATAAAAATTGATATAAAAAGTTAACAAACAATCCTAAAATATGTTAATTTTTTATGGAGTTTTTACAGTGGTATTACTTTTGAAAAAACAAGGAATAAGGTACCCTTTCGACACTAATAAAACGAGAAAAAAAAACCATTTACAGAAAAATGACCTTTATTGAACCAGGTCAGGAAAGAGTTGTCCGATGAGCATTGTCCGAAAAAATATTATCATTTTCGTCAACTTTGACTACATTGATACCTTGCTGCTCCTTTCTTTCCTTCTTACACTTTTTTAAACGCTTTAATTTGTACTTGCTAATAAATTTCCCGGACTTCGTTCTGTGCACATGGTATATGTTAACAATAACTACAACTTCCGGTTTTATAGAATTAGAACAAATCACTGCAAATTCTGGGAAAACTGTAGTGTAACTCTTTTATGTGGAAAATAAGAAAATTTGTTTGTGGTATGTATCCTTAAATCATAAACATGATGAAAGAAAATGACTCTTCCAAATTACAAGATAAGTCTAACTTATGATTGATTTCCATCTCCCGGCGCAGCTTTGTTTGGGACGCCCATAAAAAGTACGCCTTGAAATATACCGCGAAAATATATATAGAGATGGTATTTTTCTAAAGAGTAAAAGTTTGATTAACACGAATTCTACTATTTGTATATGTATACGTGTTCTCAGTCGAGTTCGGCAAAATTGATCTCACCTAAATCAGCCGATCGTCACGTGACATTTCTTTTAAAAATAGAGAAAATTTACACGGCTACAGAGATCGTAAAAGCTTAAAAGTCCATTATAATTAACAATGCAAAATAAATGCAGAGCAAACACGGACCTTCAAAACACCAAAGTACCATAGGGTAGTGACCATGTCGTGTCGAAGGGTCACTTCCACAATTCGCTCCTTGTCATGATCGGAAAATAACGGAATATTCGGCAAGTTCAGTGTGTACTTATTCTAAGATAACGCTTATTGATGTATCATTATCTCAATAAACAAAATAAATAAATAAATTAGCCATTGATTATGAATCTCGTACTCTAAATTTGAGAGATTATTTCTTAACCTCTTCATTAAGAGATTCTCCCCTATATATTTTTGTTTATAATTTGAAGAGCAACACACAATTTGCAGGGGGAATTTTCTTCTTAATTTGTAAAAAAAAAATATTGAAGCAATTTGAGAATAACAACTTAAACCAGAAAAATCAAATGGTTATATACAAGATAAAAATAAAGAATTTAGAATTTATGTTAAAAAATCTATCATATTTAGAATATTAACCAAAGACAGAGAAAGAATGAACATTTAAGAGGAGTTTATCAAAACAAATATTAAACATAAATATACTAAGCAAACAAAAAATGCAGATGATTGTGTTCAAAACCTGTCATTGTGGTAAAAAATACAACTACTGAGCATTTTTCTTATAAAACTACTTCAATCATCAATCAGTAAACAATGATTTCCTTTGAAGTGATATCGCTGCAAAGTGTATACATTTCGATAGATCGTCAAAAGAATTAATTATTCAAAAACCGTACAGTATATTCCCCAGCTCTAACAATTCATGAAAACAACCAACAAATCTATGTTGAATTATAATAGGAGATAGAGGTTACAAACCTAGTTCTTTTGATGGTTGAACATTGCATACTTTGAAATGAAAATATTCAGTACACAAATTACTCAAAGGTTTGAGCAACAAAGGTTGCAAAACTGTATTATATTTAGAAATTACATTTATCGTGCATGTAAGCTTTATTTTTGAGGCCACTCTTCTCATTTATGGTGCATTTCTTACTCTTGCTTTTCTTGATCCACCAATTTTTAACTTTTTCAAAACATGGACTCATCATCATACAATTACCTCCAGCAAGAATAAAAGCGATAAGCTAAAAAAAAATGAAACTTTTTTTTCAAAATGAGACTTGCCCACAATTATAAATAACAGTCAAATCAACTGATTCAAAGAAGTAAATTTAAAAAAAACATACTTACCTTCATTATTCCCAAAGTGAAAAGCAAAGTGTACAGTACATGTATTTGGTAGGTTTCTATGGTCTTATCACCAAGACTCATAAATTTAGTAAAACAACTCTGAAATTGAATTTTAACAAAGTAGATTTTTTTTTCACTTTTATATTTGAACTTTGATTTATTATGCATAATATCATTAATTATAAATTGCCTTTGAAAATTATTCCATTGCATGATAATGAAGGTAATGTTTATGTAATTAATCGTGCATTTAGTATAAAATGTTTGAAATACAAAAACTGATAAATTAAAACAAAAAGTCCTTTAATCTTAATTTTTTTAAATCTTGCATCAAGACCACCAATTTTTCATTTTGATTTCATGAAAAGGAAAGTTGGGGATATTTGAAAATACAATACACATTTATCTCCTTTATGTGTCTTAAAATCTATAGATAACGTACAAGTATTTCTGTTTAAGGATAAATAACACAAACAACCTTTTTAGCCAGAAAAGAACTATCTTTATGTATTCTGAAGCCTTACTCAATAAAGAAGAAATATTTTACCATCTAAAAAGGATCATTCTCTATAATGCCGTTTTGCGGCCTACCATGACTTCAAATTTTCAGATAGTATTTTTTCTCTTAAAAATTGAATGAATAACTAGGCTTAATTTCCAATTTAATGATAAATATTGGTTGGTTAATGATACATGTACATTAGTATTTTTAATGATAAAGGGCACAATGTAATGAACTACCGTTCCGTATAAGCATTAGAGTAATGGGAAAACTCAAGAGGGTAGCTGTGTTGGATACTAGTAACTTCTACGCATGTCATAACCACCTTTAACCAACACCAAAATTTGCATGTAAATATTTTATTACATAAAAAGTGACTACCAAATTATGAATTGGGTTAAAGGTGCTTATGACATCTAAATAAAAACTTTTCACTTCATTTTTTCGATATTTGCAGAAAAAGCTAACTACTCACAATGAAGGATATCAGCTTTTTTTACATTATTTCTTTCTATAAACTTTTGGTTAGAGTACAATTTTCTGTTGAATTACTAATATTTATATCAGACATGCATATTTACTAGAAAAAATGTGATCTTTTTACGTAAAAAATATAAAAACTAAAAGTACTGAGAATACTGGATGTAATGAAATTGCAAGTGGATACGTTTCTTGGAAATATCCGATGAAAATTAAGAAATAAAAACCTTTATAGGCTAAAAGGTGTGAATATGAGTTGTATTTTATATTTATAATGATAGTTTTTGTTTATCTATATATGCTACTTCTTTGAATTCCGTTATGAGTACTATATTGTACATATACTAGTATTCTTTGTATTTCCTTATGAGTACTGTATATGTTCTAGAAATGATAAAAGCCATCTTTGTTGAAGCTGTAACATGCATTTATTATTTGTGTTACAGACTTTTTTCCCTATGGGTAAACACTTAATTTTTATATGGACACTTCCTTACGAGTTTCATGTGATCCATATTTTGGTAACTGGGTCTTAATATTGAGAGGATTCAATCGATTCATCACACTTCTTTGAGAGCATCGATATAAGTTACGAGAACAGTTGTCCTGTCATAGAAAATAAACTGGTAAAGAGGAGAGGGATTCGTAAATGTAATATGTGATTGATAATTGCATGTTGCTTTACCTAATTAAAGGATTTTTCACCCAGATAAAAAGATCATCTACTTAAGGTCGTGTTTATGCACACTTGCATTACTGACCAACGTCTTTTTTTTTAAAGATAATATCCAAAAGACCCATGACATTTACTTTGAATGCTAAAGACTTAGGTAGGGAACTGTCACTATCCGTGTTAAACAAGTTTTTGACGCTTCAGTGGGAAAGAGACTGAATTTAACCTACAGGTTTTTATAAGTGCGAAAGGACCATCAAACCCTTAGGGTCCATTTTGTACCTAGGATGTACATGTAGTAGAACTCTTAAGTTCGTATACTATTAGTTACACAGTGAGTTAGTGACCTAATACGGATTCATACAGGGTGTGGAATGGAAATCCGTATAGGGCAAGCGAAGCCGAGTCCCAATACGGATTTCCATTTCACACCCAGCTGTATGAATCCGTATTAGGTCACTAACTCACTGTGTTACGAATTTATCCCGCTGAAGACCTTTTTCAAAATAAAAATAAATATTTGTGCATATCATGAAAACATTAAGTTTTAATCCAATAACAATCAACATAAAATATTAGTACGGTAACAAGAAATTTATCTAAACTACCTACGTTAACCGATTCTTGGCCGCCATTTTTATTTACAGTGACAACGCTTCGAACGGAATCGCGTGCCCGATTTTCATATTACGCTTTGACGGAGATGTAATACGGAAAATTTCAGGGCGTCACGTGATTAGCTTTTATCCAATCAGCAATCGACAAATTTGTCTGAAGCGGGATAATAGTATATACAAAAACTTCTGATATGCATAGTTCAAGGAACTGTTAAAATTCTACTCCATTTTTAAGTTGTGCCGTTAGACACTGGGAGGGGGGTCTTAACTTTTATACATGTAAATACATAAAGTTTAGTAGGCATTTTTAATTGAATATATCGTGTAACAAGAGTACTAGTAATTAAATAAGGGGGAAGCCATTCTACGACGCTATTTTATTTTACTTAGAGATGTGTGTATTAATGCAACCGCTCTGTGTTATATGTATTGACTATTTACATGTATATGGATAGTCTACACGTACTTTCATTGATATTTTTATGCTATTAACTCTTTTTTTTGCAATTGCTGAATTTCTTTTCTTAATAACTAATTCAGTCTTATTAAATCACAATCAGAATCCATTCAGTGCTTTCAACATGTGATACATAACTTTTAGAGTTCAATAGAAACTTAGACACCTCTATTCTAACATGGTTATTTTATGCGTAAAATAAGTACCACATCTATAGAAATGATATATAATTACAATATAATTATATATGATATGATACTTTTTAATACATTGCAAATCAAAGTTTTTCAGCATCATACAGTGTGAATTTCGTAAAGATTTTTGTTCAAAATATGCAAAATGTGGATGCATGGGAATTCTTACCATAAAGAATATCTTGAATCTTAGATTTTAAAAAATCTTCGAATTTATTACTTAGATCTGATGTATTTCTGACATAAATAAACTATTTTCGATCATTTACATTCAGAAACATGCTTAGAAAATTGATCTAAATAGACTTACTCTCAATTTTTCTCTAACTGACGGCCATTTTTTATCTCTTAATCACGTGACTTAGATGATTGATGTTGAAAAACAAACATCAAAATCATGAACTAGAATGATTATAGTTATACAAAATCACATTTTGAAGTGATTTTATCGTAGGCCGGAAAATGACCTTATAGAGAATGGACCTTTATGATTGAACAAGTCGCCAAAAAGTAGGGAACGTTGGAAAATGTATGTTTCTAATTCAATATTTAAAAAAAGTTCTAATTTGTTTTCTGCCATCTTTATGAACAACTTGTATTTATATAGGTATGCAGATTATTATCCTGGTTGGCGACAATAATTTTTTTCTTATTGTCTTTCAAATCTAATCAATACACCCCCCCCCCCCCAAGAAAAAAGAGGAAAAAAGGATCTAAAAAGTTTACAAACAATCCTAAAATAAGTCTTTACAGTAGTATAACATTTGAAAAAACAAGGTAATTGGTACCTTTCGACACTAATAAAACGAAAAAAAAAACATTTACGCAGATAAAAGGAAATTATTGAACCTGGTCAGGAAGGGGTTGTCTCCTTAAATGTTTACGTGAACACTGTCCGAAAAAATATTATATTTTCATCAACTTTGATTACCATGAAATCCCAAATTAACGCGGGGGTTTAATTTTTGTTGTTTTTTTCCGAGATGTGAAGAGACCCCACGAATTTATGTCCACCACAAAATGTTAAATGCGACATACATAACTACTCAACAATCCTACATCCACGAAATCAATTCCCACGAACCAAGAGTTTTTCCTCAAACCACGAAAATCTGGCCCCACGAAATTATGTGATTTTACAGTATATTGATACATTGCTGCTTTTCATTCAAACACCTTTCTTAAACGCTTATATTTGAACTTGACAGTAAATTCTTTCACAAACTTCTCTTTGTGCACATGGTACATGTTTACAACAACCTCAATATCCGGTTTTATGAAAATAGAACCAAACACTGCAAATTCCTGAAAAAAATGTAGTGTAACTCTTTTTTGCCGAAGATAAGAAAACGCGTTTGCGGAATGCATCTTTAAAATAAACAAAAATCTTCACACCGTTTTATTTATATTTTAAATCACGAAGAATGTTTGCAAAATATATTAAAGGTTAGCTGATTAAGAAAAATTTTAAAGGTACTTAAAGGTGCATGGAGACAGATCTAATGTTATTTTTTTCTGTTTAATATTATGACATATATTTTAATAACATTTTACACAAAAATGTATTAAAACTTTTATTTCATCTTAAAGTTATTGAAACCTTAAATTTTTGGATGGATTTTATTGTCATATCCTTGCACTCTCACAAAGTTTATTACTTATTATTTATTACTTTTATTCTTAATACTTAGGAAAAGTGCTAATCTTATTGTGTGTAAATGAAAAATATTTATCTATTTATAACATTTTAGTTTCAGTTTTCTCCTTTTGATAATTTCGTTTTTCTTTATTTATTTATTTCGTTTTCTGCTTTTAATAATTTCGTTTTTTGTTATATATTAATTTCGTTTTCTTAAAATATATTTATTCCGTTTTTCTTTATTTAATGTTTTGGTGTTTTTCTTTAATTGATATTTCGTTATTCCTTATGTCTTTATTCGTTTTTCTTTCTGAATTTATTTTCGTTTTAAAATTTCTTTTTTCTTTTTTTTTTTTGTTATTAATTTCTTTTTTTCTTCATTTATTTATTTCGTTTTCTTTATTTATTTATTTCGTTTTTCTTTATTCAATATTTCGTTTTTCTTTATTTTATAATGTCATTTTTCTTTACTTATTTTTGGTTTGCACTATTAGGCTTCTGTAAAATCATGCATATGCAATGATAGAATTTCCACTAAATTAAAAATCATGCTAATAAAATAATATCTACATATATAGATTGGCATGCAGTATTTTAAGGTGTATTTCTTATTGGCGTCCGTAACTTAGTTGCGCGGTAGATTTTCTCCAAACCTGGTATGTACACTAACATCAATTTAAGTTACATATATCATTAAATTAAAGAGTCTATCGTAAATCACATAATAAAACATCAGTCGGCTCCCTTAAAACAATGAAGTGAAAGAGAAACGGCATCAATGCATGTAATGACCAATATCCTATTCGAAATGGGACATAAATAAATCAGATGTGGATACGAATAAATGCTATGGAAGGATAAAATCTTACCAATATCCAATGCAGTAAGAAATACATTTTTTACAACTTTATTAAATCAATTATGATGATTGATTAAAAAAACATATTTTCTGACATCATAAGAGACTTTCTAACACCATAGACAACTGAATCGCCAATAAAATTTCAATTTATGTTGCAAATGTCTTATAGATTAGGTCAAATATTGGACGACTTGATTCGAATTCAATATTTTTAATAAAATGTGGCGGTTAAGGACAGATTATATGTACAATCTGTTTGTAAGGACAGATGATACAAAAAAAAATTTGGTATCATCTGTCCTTAAAGTAACCAATGTCTTGAGACATCAAAAATCACAAATACTAGTCGGATGCAGGTGTGGAAAATAAATTCTAAGTATGGCTTTCATAAATACTTAGAACAGACTGCTAAGGAATTCAAAGCGACCGTTGTTTCAAAACAAGTTGTGCTGGTGGATTAGAGATAAAAATGGAATAGGCCATTTTCTTGAACAAATATGTGTCTCCACCAATGCATACATGACTAATGTATGTTCAGTGGGTCTTGTGTGGTTCTTGAGAAGAAGTAAAAATGATAAAAGTTTACAAATTGTACAAGCTCGATTGATATTGGGCACTCTTTGGTTAACGTTGAACCTACGTCGTATGACATCATATCCAGTGAATATGTGTTTAGCCTGTGCAAGATCCAATATATATGACGTCATATTAATATGTTACTCTTTCATTTACTTTACAGCTTCTATTAAAATTGTCAAAACAAAAAAGAAATTCTTGGAATACAATGGAAAATCATCCACAAATATTCTTAATAAGTACCTATATTCAATTTATATATTTTTTGTTCTACAGCTAAATGAATTGATACATGTCTTAATAAATCTGTGAAACTTGCAGGCACATTTCATTTAAATTCAGACTTTAAGTGAACAATCCAATGTTTTGAAATAAATAAATAAATAAACTTATTTTGAAAATCGGAATTGTAAACAACTTTTGTCAGGGAATGCAAAAAATCCTACGAAATCTTCAATTGGAAACTAATTGATATGTTAAACGGTGCATCCGGTATGGCAGGCGCAATTATTTACTATCTAAAACCTTTACAGCTTTTTCTTGCACTGCCTATCCTCTCAGTTCAAAAAGAGAAGAAAACAATAAAAGAAATCACTTTCCAGACATCAAGATCGAGATCCCGGATTTCTAGAAAGTTTCTGTCAAAATCGGAAATACCCGAGCCGTTTAAGTGACGAATATATGACGTCAAATAAAAGTCCTGACAAGTACCCCTAAAATGACTGAGGATGTGAAGTCGCAGTATGTAATTACCATTCCAAGTTTCACAGTCTGTACCACATTTAATACTAAGCTTTTGGAAGCATGTCATGTGCATTTAACTGCTTTAAGAAAAGTTTTAGAATCTTGTCATAAAGATATTTTCGACATAGGTTCTACCTTAAAAAATGATTGTCACAACAGATTGTGATTTACAGTAACAAAAACATGAATTCAAGGCATCCCTTTTTAACTCTGGCTCAAGTCATGCTCAAACAGTATATCTAAAACAACTTTGTTTTAATATGTGAAAAAAATAGTAAAATCTTTTTCAGGTAGGGACAATCTCATATACATTTAAATAAAACTTGATATATGATTGATTGATTGCTTGCTTGTATATTGTTTAACGTCCCTCTCGAAAATTTTTCACTCATATAGAGACGCCTCCACTTGCCGGTGGAGAGCTTCAAATTTTGTCTTATACTCGGCACTCAGGGCCGTTGAGCAGGGAGGGATTTTTTTCATGCCAGCACCTACTGCGACACGGGACCTCGATTTTTACGGTCTCATCCGGAGGAACGGTTTCAACGTCCCACAGTGGGATTCGAACCAGCGACGTAAGGATTGACTCCTTACTTCTCGAGTATAGAGCAGACACTCTAACCACTGCGCCATGCGGGCAAAAATTGATATAGATTATTGAGATGAAACATCATTCACTTCTTACTGTTACATAATTTGGAGTTGTCTCTAATTCTCCCAAAACAGTGTATTAAATAATGCCCTGTGTATAGGGACTAGAAAGCAATGGACCACAGCTCAGCTATGTTAAGGACCTAAAAGGAAAATAAAATCTAAGCAATGTTTTACATATGTATTACTTTTTTAAAGTGTACCAGAGTTAGTAAATACATATTTAAAGGAAATGTAACAAACCTAGCCATTTTAGGCTAGGTTAGGTCGTACAAAGTACCACATAATTATATGGAATGTTTTAGTGGTTTGTCACATTAGTTTCTTCGATTCCTCTACAGTATTGTTTTCATGTATTGCAATATTTCAAGATTTTATAAATGATTGTTAAAATAAATAATTCAGGTTGTTATTTACGCTTCATCATGGTGTTACTTTAAGTTTTGTCGCTTGTTTAATTCATCGTGACGATCGATGTCAAAATTCAAAACGGTGCACCACGAGTGTGAACTCGGGTCTTCCTTAACATAGCTGATAGGTAGACTGCTAGCCCTCAAGACATCTACACCTAAACAAAAAAAAAAACCTCTCTTAACTTGCCTACCAACCGGTAAAAACGCTCCTCCTTTAAGCACAAACTTGCTTAGGACTAGTCCTTAAATGTAACTGATTGATTGTCGTCCCGTCATTTTTTTTTCTTTCTTTCTTCTAATGTTGCATTATATTTAAAAAAAAATTCCAAAACTTTTTTGAGTAAAAGTTTTAAATTTACTTCTTTGAAAGATCCAATTTGGACAACAGAATGGCAGCTATCATGCGCATTTTGATAGTCATCTTCGGTAACAGCCTTACAGCAGGTCTTAGGAATCTGTGAATTAGCCTGTTGACAAGACCCTGATGTTGTACACCACGGGGTCGTATCGAAGTCATTAGTTGTCCCGATTACTTGATTCACAGCACAACAGTCGTACTAAAATTAAAAATTAAAACAGCAAAATTATTGCAGTTAATTACTTACATCAGCCTATGCAGAAGTTCAAGAAAAAAAGATTGTGACGTCACACTTAAACTTCAAATCTATCCTGGCGAATAAAAACTGGGTTTTTTTTTGGTTTGTTTGTTTGTTTGTTTGTTTGTTTTTTTTTTTTTTTTGCATATACAATTAGAAAAAAGAGTATTCGAAGAAGAAATAAAGGTAACGTGTTACTTAACTTAAAACACTATTTAAATGAAACAGTTAATGAATGTACGAGGGCCGTTCAAAAATTAAACGGACGGTGTTATTATTTACTCTTACAGAAGTCATATAGTTATGAAATTTCACAGAAATATGTATCTTAAAGATTCCAATAAATCTGGGCAAGATTCCTGTATTTTATTTTTCGAAATATCGAAATTGAATTCCTAAATGTCGCAGTAAAATAATGTGTAAACATTATGCCGTTAAAATTAAATATCGCAGACATTACTGCAATATAATAAATATGAATACTTCGCTTAGACGACTCGATTTAATCAAAGAGGAAAAATGAACAAAATTTGAACGACATGTAATATCAGGTTCATACAAGTTAAAAGATTTTAAAAGTCCAATTTGGGCCCCTGAAGGAGTAAAAAAGATTTACAAACAAAAGAAGGAGGAGGATCCAATTGATAGACCAAACATGATCTTACATGTAATGAGAGCAATTGATAAAAACGTGTTTTAGAGATTCACTGAATATACATACATGTATTGCATGTGTTTTAATAATATTATATTTAAAGGCAAGAAACTGGGGAAAAAGTACATATATGCATATCGTAAATTATCAAGGAATCTAAGCTAGCTAGTGATCTAAGGATGTCAGGAGCTTCATTAGTCATGAGCCAATAAAATTGATAACCATAAGATACGGACTGAAAAAAATTTAAATTAAATTTCACAAATATTTATGAGTCCAAGTCTTTGTACATAAAGATGAGGACATACAAGGAGAAAATAAATTTCATCCTAAATATAACGTATTGCAGTGAATTGATGTCTGATTTAAATAAAACAATTCAAATAGTTATAGTATCCTTGCAGGCTCTTCCCTAAATAATAAATCTCATGAATGTTGCTTCAAAGGACAGTCACCGTTCACGGTAGCCTAGTGGTAGAGCGTTCGCTTCGTGATCGGGAGGCCCGGGTTCGATTCTCGTTCTCGGCGCCGCGTCAAACCTAAGACGTAAAAATAGGTAGCGACTGTTCTTTCGCCAAGCGCTCGGCATCAGAAGTGAAAGTCACGGGTCTTTCGGATATGACCTTAAAAACGTAGGTCCCGTGTCACGGTAGGCGCTGGCACGATAAAGAACCCTCACTGCTCAATAGCCCTGAGTGCCGAGTATAGGTCTAAATTTGAAGCCCTTCACTGGCATACGTTGACGTCTCCATATGAGTGAAAAATTCTCAAGAGGGACGTTAAACAATATACAATCAATCAAAGGACAGTCACTATATTTGGTAATACCTGTCCACTATTCAAACTATGATAACAATATATCTTTAATATTGTTCTTAGCTTGGAGAACATAATAGATGCAGAAATACAAGCATTAAATAATTTCGTCTGATGTGATGCCATGCGTTAGATATGACCTCAAAATATTGTATAATAAAATGAATGAAATAATTTGCATTTTGTCCTCTTTCTTTTTAAAGATAACACACAAGCTCATTAGTTATGCTGTCGTAGACACAAATCTTTTTCCCAAATCATGTTTTGAATTATTTGGTAAATTTAGATTTATGTCATGATTTATAATATCATAAACATTTTATGAAGTTGCACTTTGAGAACATTTTAAAAAACGTATACATAAAAAATTATGACACTGTAAAATTTGCAAATTTCCTTTTGTTAATTCAGAGGGAAAAAAATCATTGCAATTACCGAAAGCATGCAGTTTTAGATTTTTATTTTTTAAAAATCATTTTTTTTTAAATCAATTTCGGAGAATAAAAATCAGGCACAGAGCACGTTTTCAAAGAGTGTCCCGAGTCCCAAGAAAAGCACCCACTCAGAAAAAGAGGAAAGCATTGCCTAGATATGCACTACGGGTCTGCAAGAAGTCCTATAACAATTTGAATTATTTTATTTAAATCAAACATTGTTGCAATGCAATACGTTATACTTATCAATCTGATGTTACAGGTCGTTCGAAATTTGCTGAATTTCCTCTTTGATTCAATCGAGTATTATAAGTGAAGTCTTCATATATGTTATATTGCACTATTGTCTACGATATTTAATTTTAGCAGCTTAATTTTTACACATTATTTAGGTGCTACATTTAGGAATTCAACTCCGATATATCGAAGTGTATAAGTCGTCTTAAACATATCAGAAAAGTACTTTTTATCAGAGATTGTTGTCATAATCAAATCGCCAAACTTTGAAGTAACTGTTTTTGACAACATCTTTATATCATAATATCGCGTTCTAAAACAACAACACGTGGCGGTTATACGTTTTCGTAGAAAATGACGTCTCCTGAATTGACGGCGCGCCACACTTTTGTTAAATTATATGTATTGCTCGAGATATCGCAAACAAACATTCAAAATATGAATAATCAAACATGTAGTAATCTAGGGTATTCGTGACATTTATTCACAAATAGCAATTTGAAATTTTAGACCGTTAGACCTCTGAAAAAATGCTATACGGGAGGACGGGAAGAATATTATCGACAAAAACTTTCTCAGCGGACTGTAAAGAACGTGATTGAGAGTCACCAATATCAAACTATATCTCATAAATACCTGCAGTTTTTGGTTTTAAAGCGAAAAGAGAATATTCTTTGCTTGTTTTATAGATTGTAAGCTTGACAAGAAATGGTGTTTGGATGTAAAGTAGATAAGATAACTTAAACTGTGCAGGTACTCTTGTGAAAATGTGAGAAAATGAAAGCTCAATAACATATTTTTTTTATAATTTCCATGATGTAGAGATTTTGCTGCTCCATAACTTAGTGATATGTCCTGAAAAATCACTCAAAATTGATACCAATTTATAACATTTTGATATGAAATTTTGAAAACCATATAAGTAAAGATTTTTTTTTTATATTATGTGTGACATTTTGTTGCCCGATTATGTCGACAAATACTTTTTCTGTGCTACAAGTTCGCGTAATTTTTGAAGGGCCCTCGTAGATACTGAAGTCCTTTTGATCCTTCTGAACTGGCTAAGGTCACGTCAAAGGCCTAGTTTAACATTTAGTTACACTGTACGAGGGTTGTTCAAAAAGGTCGTGGACTACTGTCATATCTTATCTTTGACGTCATATGTTATCCAAACTTGGTAGAAATATTTTAACAATAAATCCACAGAATTTGTATTGATTTTTTTTAAATTTCCCGATTTTTTTTTTTTCAAAACTTATCCTGATTTTAAAAAATGCAAAATTCGGATCGCGGAGCAGGTCAAAATTTAGTATTTTACGAACAATACACTAAATAATGCCCGAAAATAATACACGAAAAACAACCGAGAAGTCCATATTTAGAATTGTTACATCGATTTGTTTTCCAAATCATAGCTTAATATTTTGTTTTTTTTTACATGAAATCAGCTTGAGGAGATAGTTAGTCCTCGTTGAAAACAACAAAAACGAAGACGTTTTAGAACGTCATGGAGCAGCCGATAACAATGTAATTTTGTCTTTTACTCAGGAAAAATCCTGAATAAACTCAAATGTTGAGGGAATCGAAAAATATGTCACAAGCGAGTTGTGCATGTGTGTACAAATAGTATGGACAGTATTTGAATGACAAAGGCTTTGTATCAGACGAAGACAATCTATGAAGAAACCTTTATCTGTAAAATTCTTAATAACAAAAACTTTTGAAAATTTGAACGTCAAGGAAAGACATAGGAACTCTAGAGTTGTTAACCCTGTGAAAGCAGAGTTAAGTAATAAAAGAAATTAAAATTCTAACAAAGGAAAGTATACAACGAGAGCAATACTTAAATAATAAATTTCAAGTATCAAAACAGGATTTAATGATTGGACAATGGATTATACTTTATAAAATGTATAGGAATAGTATATTCTAGAAATTCTTGACACTTTATTTTGACGTTACATTGCCGTTAAGGGTTCTCCGCGGATACTAAACATGTTGATTTTTAAATGACGTAAATTGATTTTTGTTAAATCGAATGGCATGAAACATCACACATAAACAAAAAAAAATATTTTTACATATTAAATTATACTTATTTTAAATTTCTAGTGAGTAATATAACGACGATTGACAACTTTTCGAACATCCCTCCCTCCACAAGACGAAAGACCACCTTTAAGCATTCGCTTAATGGTAGCTTAATGGTGACTTAATGGTGGCTTAAAGAAGTTAATTCCTTTAAGCCACCATTAACCTGCAACTTACAGGTGCTTAATAAACTCCATTAAGCTACCATTAAGCCACCTTTAAGCTGAGCTTAATGGTGGCTTAATGGTCAAACCTAATTAAACTTTTACGCATCTTATTTATATATATCGAATCTTTGAAATAACTTTTTAAGTTATTCCAATATCATTTGCACAAAATATATTTCTACTTATATTTTTGTAGTGATCGTCATTTCTATATAACATTTTTGTCATCATGCATAAACTCGGGCACAGAGAACAAATTCAGCTATATAGCCACAGGGGCTTCTTCTCACTGTCTAATTATTATTTTTAAAAAAACATTTACAGTAATAAAAAAAAGACATTTTTATCATCACCGTACATGTATATGATTTTTAAAAAAAATAGATAATTATTACATGCCTTGTTTTTATTATCAGTGTATTATGATTTTTATTACACACCAGGAGCAAGCCGCTGTGAAATATCTTAATTTTTTTAAATTATCTTTATCCATGAACACAAAATATTTATTACTTAAAAAAAAGATACTTGTATTTTTATTTCATGTGTTATAGGCAACATTCATCTACAGAATTCACAGGAATATAAAGTCATGTTATCATGAAAAGAAAGCTCTCTCTATTTTTAATTTTTTTAAGGGGTGGGAGGTTTTGAATGTTAATTTGAATTAATTCGTTATTTTTTATATAATGCAGCGGAAAGTATCTGTCAAAATCTAGTAGGTGTTCAATGATTGTTATTTCAAAACCGATTTTCAAAAGAACAGCCAATCAGATTTAACATGACATCCGACCAGATTTATACACATTGGGAAACGGGGTAAGATTAACAGTGTACAGTATACCGACTTGTTAGACAATAGACCTTAATTAGGTGTGTCCACCGTCCCCGGTTAACTAACAGGAAACTATACATACACAACGTACACTGACAGATTTTGATGATCAATTATTTTTACAAATTTTTTTAACGCAAGCATATCACAAATGAAAAATTATGATTCATTATAAAAGGACAATTATTTTGATACCCATTATGATACAAAAAGAATTTAAACTGAATATGATATTCTAAAAAATGTTTTTGTAAACATAACCAGATAAATCTTACGCGAGGATTGTCACTAAATTTTAGGCAGAAAAAGCGTTAATATTCGCAGCATATTTTTTTAAAAAAATTCATCTTCCTTTCCCGATGATAGATTTTTTGTGTTTTGACTATATTTAATTTACATTTCAATCATGATTTAATGCTTACATGTATTTATATGAATTGATTTATTAATCAAACTTTAAACAGTTTTATTTATGGATGTTTTTTAAAAGGCTTATATCATATAAATATTTCTAAACCGTTGAGTTCGGCATTTAGCATGTTTAGATTGTAATGAATTCTCCGCTCTATTGTCATCGTTATTCGAAGACTTGGAAACGTTCAACAAAATAAAATATTTTACAAGTCAATTTTTTTTAAAAAAAATAAAGGTTTAATACTTCACAGCAGTAATAAGAGCGGATATAGCCTAGTGGTTAAGGTGACGGCCCCATAATAAAAGAGAAAAAAGGCGACAGCCCCATAATCGGAAGGTTATGAGTTCGCGCCCTGCTTCTGGCAATATTTTTTTTTTTTAATTTTGTATTCGTTCTTTTTCCTTATTTTTTTACCAAATCAAGATATTTGTGAACTCAACATTTATATTTTGTGATAAAATTTCACTATAAAAATAATTTTTCAACCATAAAAACAGTATTATCGACTGCATAATGGTAGCTTAATGGTGGCTTAATGGTAGCTTAATGAAGTTTGGACATTAAGCACCTGTAAGTGTGGCTTAATGGTAGCTTAATGGTGACTTAATGGTGGTCTAAAAGCTACCATTAAGGACCTTTAAGCCACCATTAAGCTACATTTAAGCACCCATTAAGGACTTTAAAATGGCTTAATGGTAACTTATTGATTGATTGATTGTATATTGTTTAACGTCCCTCTTGAGAATTTTTCACTCATATGGAGACGTCACCGATGCCGGTGAAGGGCTTCAAATTTAGACCTATACTCGGCACTCAGGGCCATTGAGCAGTGAGGGTTCTTTATCGTGCCAGCGCCTACCGTGACACGGGACCTACGTTTTTAAGGTCATATCCGAAAGACCCGTGACTTTCACTTCTAGTGCCGAGCGCTTGGCGAAGGAACAGTCACTACCTTTGTTTACGTCTTAGGTATGACGCGGCGCCGCGATCGAGAATCGAACCCGGGCCTCCCGATCACGAAGCGAACGCTCTACCACTAGGCTACCGTGACCGGTAAATAATGGTAACTTAATGGTGGTGTAAATGTTACTTAAAGGTGCTTAATTGTGATTTAATAGTGACTTAAAGACAACCATTAAACCACTATTAAGGACCTATAAGCCACCATTAAACCAGGCTTAAAGGATGTGTTTCATCTTGTGCTCGTACATAGTGAATATTTCTGTCGCTTGATCTCTTAAACTTGGAGAAAAAAGAACTTTCTCTTTTAATGGAACATAAAGATACCTGTTTAAGTTAAAATAACATCTCCTGGATTTCTCTTTGAGTTAAAGATATCTCTTAAAAAATGAAAGAGATAAGTTTTGAACCCAAGGATCCCAGATATGGCAGTAACTGATAAAGAGGGAAATGTCAACCAAAATAGTTTCATGTATTTTCTGATTTGTATTATTGAGGAGAGTAATTTCCTACCCACAAATATGTATACAAAAAAAAGAACACTGCAAAATTCTACTACAGTCATTCCTTTAATCAAAGAAATGATTTTGCACTCATCATGCATACATATTTCAAATCAATTATACATATTTACTAATATAGTGTTACTTAAAATTCAGAATAAATTGTTTGCATTCATGTCCAGTTCACTTTATCAGTTCAATATTGTCGACATCGCAAAAACGACAATGTTAAATCAATATTGTGATTAGATTGTCTACATTGTTTTCGTTCCCCGCTTGATAAATGGGGGATATTAATTTGGATCTGTCCGTCCGTCCGTCATTCTGTCTGTCTGTAACGCTTTCGTTTCCACACGATATCTCAAGAACCCTTTGAGTTTCGCTAAGAAATTTTGCATATCAACTCCCTATACTAAAGAGGAACCCTATTGGTTTTGAGGTCAAAAGGTCAAAGGTCAAGGTCATAAATTCGCAAATTCTGTCTTTTATAACACTTTCGTTTCCTCGCGATATCTCGAGAACCCTTAGAGCTTTTGCAATAAAATTTAATGTAACAACTACCTGTGACCTCTATTGAATTTGAGGTCAAAAGGTCAAAGTCCAAGGTCGTAAATTGATACATTCTCTCTGTATGAAACAATATCCTTTCCGGGCGATATTCCAAGATTTTGAGCTTTTGCAATGTAATTGTATACCACAACTCCCTAGAACCTCTCTTACTCCTCTCAAAGTGTCCCGTCCCGTTTGTTTTATTAGTATTTACTGTACATGTATATGTCACTATTTTTATCACGGGGGCATGAGGAGAGTTATAACGTATAAAACATGTTCTCGGTGGACTTTATATTCTTATTATATCTATTAGAACTGTTTAATAAAGGTTGAATTAAACACCATGCATTGTGTAAAATTTTAACAATATCGAAAGTGAAAAAATACATGTGACTTCATCTTTGCATATAATTGGTGTCAGTAAAAAGCAGTTCCATGGTCTAGTGGTATGTCGCTCGCTTCATACGTGAGAGGGCCCGAGTTCGCATCTCAGACAATCCAATTTTTTTTTTCGAAATACTTTATTTTATTTTATTTGCTTCAGTATACATGTGTACATTTAATAATTCCACAAATTCAGTCAAGGGAATCCGACCCCTTCCCCCGAACTGCGCATGGTTTACTTTTTCCCTAAGCGGGGGACACAAATTCTCTGCATTAGCTTGTTATTCATTATGAGGGCCTTGAAATGTACACAATGTTGATGCGATATCGCTTTTACAACGTCTACATTGTTTTTATTTCTACATTGTATATCGACATTGTCGAACATCGCAATGTAAACAATGTTGAAACGATATCGCGTTTACATCGTTTACATTGGTCTTGTTTCTACGTGATGGCATCGTTGACATCACAATGTAGACAATGTTGAAACGATATCGCTTAAGCGACGTCTACATTTATACGGGTATTAATTCTATTGTGAAAGAAAATAATATACGACACTTATATAATGTGATTTTATCAAATTATCAAATTTGTGTCAATTAACGGTTTTAGCAAGATAAATAAACATAAAGGGAAACGTAATGTTGACATGATGTCGACTTCATATAGGCCAACACAAATATGTAAACAAGAATATAAGAATACAGTATCCACACAATATCAACTCATTATCGACCAACATAGCTGTGTGAACAAGATTTTTAAATAAGGGCAATGTTGACAAGACGTCGACTCGATATCGACCTACATTGCGATGTCGACGATGTGAACTATATCAACAAGAAAAATAAGAAGGGCAATGTTGACACAACGTCGACTCGATATCGACCTACATTGCGATATCGACGATATGAACGATGTAAACAAGAAAAATAAGAAGGGCAATTTTGACACAATGTCGACTCGATATCGACCAACATTGCGATGTCGACAATGTGAACGGTGTAAACAACAGAAAACGGGAAGGTAATGCTTACAAGGTGTGGACTCATTATCGTTTAACAATGTAATATATAGAGAGATAAACAAATGTATTATATCCAGCATTGTCATTTGAATATGTTATGATATTAGGAGGACTGGTATTTCAATGCGATGTCGACAAACGTTTCAAGAAAAGAATTTTACTGTACCTGTATAAAATATCTATTCCATCTGCCTGACATTGTATTGGAGTTTGTGGTATTATCAGATGAGTATGTTTGTGTCAACGAGTAAAGCATGATCTTCTTTACTTCTATATAATCCTGGAGATAAGAAAAACAAAGGATAGCTGTGAATGTCACAATGCAAATAAATTCCACATTAAAATTAGTTATTAACTGGGTTCGAGAGTAACATGCGTTTTGCCGGACCCAAGAACCAAATGGACCTGAGACGGACGATAAAAGATTTTGTTAGAGGGATCAACAAAACCCATTCTATCCGACATAATAGTCAATACATATTTTGTAACACTGCTTTAGAATACATGTACATTATGTTGGCGTCTTTCATGTGTATTTCATTTACAAGCATTGGGGTTTCGCCTGCGTGGCGCAGTCGTTAGATTGTCTGCTCTAGATTCGCAGCGTAGGAATTTGACCCTTACGTCGCGGTTTCGAATCCCATCGTTGGACGTGGAGACCGGCCCTTCGGAAAAAATAGTTCAATTCCGTCACTGTCGAACACTAACGAAAATTATTTTACGTATCAAGTAGTCCAAAATCGCTTCGATAGGTCCCACATTTCAAACCGCGGTAAAACATTGATTTTTATGACTGCTCGGTAAAACATTAGAAATGTTAAACTTTCTTGGATAAAGATTTATATAATAACATCGTTTAAAGGTATAACGATATTCTTTCATTTGGAACTGACAAGACTATGAACTGACATGTTGTTAGTTTCCTACCGTATCTTTTGTCTTCACGTCTGCCATTTCTGTGTAGATCTTTAGAAGTGGTACGGCAAAAGCAAATACCTCTAAAGCGGTCTATGAGAAAAAGAGATATAGAAATCCTATACAAATGCTCACAAATATTATATATATATAGCAAAATTTAAAAAAGTGACATACTTACAAATATATAAAGGCATTTTAATCCTGACATGCGTATTTTTTTAGGCACACGCTCTAAAAAGAATCCGGTGAAGAGAAACAGGAAATCAGAAACCACTGAGACAAAACCCAGCAGGAAAATGCTTTCCATTCTTTCCTTGACATCCTCATAATTACATTGAAATGTATAGTTGAGATCCAGAAATGCCAAGGCTTTATCTTTTTCACAAGTTCCGCTTTTCAACAACATATTGCTCCAAGCCATCAAAATAAGACCAACAACCTAAAAAAGAATTTAGCCATATATATATAAACCAACTTTTATTCGCGACGACTTTATTTTGCGATTTACCGGGAGTAAATTATTTCGCAACGATTAATTTTCGCGATCAAGTCTTTCTGAGGTTATTTTTAATAGGAAAAGAGACTTAAATGATTCGTTCACGGCGAGAAATATTCGCGATAACAAGGCTCTCGCGAACCTCGCAAAAAATTCTCGCACGCAAATAAAAGTCGGTTGACAGTACACACACACACACACACACACCCACCCACACACACACACACACACACACACACACACACACACATACCACACACACACACTCACACACACACACACACCCTCCCTCTCTCACACATACACATACACCCTCACACACACACACACACACACACACACACACATATATATATATGCAATATATTCACAGATCACTCCACTTTTATTGAAATGGATTATTTTGAAATAACGCTTATTATACCCCCCGCTTGAATAGAGGAGGGTATATAGTAATCGTCTGTCCGTCCATCCGTCTGTTACGCTTCGGGAAATCCATCTCTAATCTGCAACTTCTCTCATACCACTGAAGGAAATTTAATGAAACTTTCACAGAATCTTTATTACATATTGCCATTGTGCACCTCCGATTTTACTTTTTGATCTGACATATACTTTGGATTTTCCAGAGCAAAACATGGACACTGCCACTATATTCATATTGTAGGTTGGGGTATCATCTAGTGAGCTCATGGCTCACAGTACCTCTAGTTTTGAAATATTCTCTCATATTCTTTGCATAAAAATAGCGGTTTATATATTGAAATCGACTATATTGAAATATCCCTTTTATTGAAGCCACTGATCCGTCTACAGAGGTGATACTGAGTTGTTTTCCTAACCATTATATTGTACTCCTTGGCGGCCGTGGTCACGGTTAGTTACAGAAGTTATGACTGATATACGAAGGAGTGAATGAATAACTTTTCACCTCAAGTGTCTTTTACTGCCTTTACAAAATAAAACTCTTCATTGTTAAATGTATTCACGTATATGGACATATTGAGGATGAACATAATAAATTAAAGGGACCCGACAGAAAAGGAAAATCCTAAACTTCTGGAACTAAATGCAAACTAGCTATGGCTATTGTTAGGCTTAAATTAAACAAGAGGCCCATGGGCCACATCACTCATCTGAGCACTGTGGCTAGGTGAAAGTATAAATTGGTTTATTATTGAAAAGGTAAAATCCAAAAGTAGTCCCATGAACAATCATGGATTTTCTATCTTTGAGAAGAGGATTTTTACAGAATTTTCCCATATATTTCTATGTAAAACTTTAGTGGGCCAATTTGGCCCAGCCCTACCCCCGGGGGTCATGATTTGAACAATCTTGAATCTACACTACCTGAGGATGCTTCCATTTAAATATGATGAATTATGGCTTGGTAATTCTTGAGAAGATTTTTTAAAGAATTTTCCTTTATATTTCTATGAAAACTTTGGTCAGCCATTTTGGCCCTGCCCCATCCCCGGGGGTCATGATTTGAATAAACTTGAATCTACACTACCTGAGGATGCTTCCATATAAATATGATGAATTATGGCTCTGTCATTCTTGAGAAGAATATTTTTAAAGAATTTTCCTATACATTTGTATGTAAAACTTTGGTGGGCCATTTTGCCCCCGCCCTACCCCCGGGGGTCATGATTTGAACAAACTTGAATCTACACTACCTGAGGATGCTTCCATATAAATATGATGAATTATGGTTCGGTCAGCCATTTTGGCCCTGCCCTACCCCCGGGGGTCATGATTTGAATAAACTTGAATCTACACTACCTGAGGATGCTTCCATATAAATATGATGAATTATGGCTCGGTCATTCTTGAGAAGAATATTCTTAAAGAATTTTCCTATACATTTGTATGTAAAACTTTGGTGGGCCATTTTGCCCCCGCCCTACCCCCGGGGGTCATGATTTGAACAAACTTGAATCTTCACTACCTGAGGATGCTTCCATATAAATATGATGAATTATGGCTCGGTCATTATTGAGAAGAAAATTTTAAAAGAATTTTCCTATATATTTCTATGAAAACTTTGGTCGGCCATTTTAGCCCCGCCCTACCCCCGGGGGTCATGATTTGAACAAACTTGAATCTACACTACCTGAAGTTGCTTCCACATAAATATGATGAATTATGGCTCGGTCATTATTGAGAAGAAGATTTTTAAAGAATTTTCCTATATATTTGTATTTAAAACTTTGGTCGGCCATTTTGGCCCCGCCCTAACCCCGGGGGTCATGATTTGAACAAACTTGAATCTACACTACCTGAGGATGCTTCCATATAAATATGATGAATTATGGCTCGGTCATTCTTGAGAAGAAAATTTTTAAAGAATTTTCCTATATATTTCTATGTAAAAGTTTGGTCGGCCATTTTGGCCCCGCCCTACCCCGGGGGTCATGATTTGAACATACTTGAATCTACGCTACCTGAGGATGATTCCCCATAAGTTTCATCTTTCCTGGCACAGTGGTTCTTGAGAAGAAGATTTTTAATAATGCCACCAAATTTTCATTAATTGCCACTTGAGTGAGGGCGTGGCCCTTCATTTGAACAAACTTGAATCCCTTTTACCCAAAGATGCTTTGCGGCAAGTTTGGTTAAAATTGGCCCAGCGGTTCTTGAGAAGAAGTCGAAAATGTGAAAAGTTTACAGACAGACAGACGGACAGACGGACGCCGGACAAAATGTGATCAGAAAAGCTCACTTGAGCCTTCTGCTCAGGTGAGCTAAAAAGCTCAGAACTTCGGGATTAACTCGAGTACATAATTATACGAGCAGCGTGAATTCCAACTTTTTGATTATTGGACTAGCATCATAAAATTAAAACCGATTGAGGTACACATGTACATCAGTGAATTTTAAAATCTTTAGCTAGCATCATCTTTTCTACCTATAAGATAAACCACAGATCAGAAATATCATTGTTTAATAAATTAGAAATGTTTTTGTAAGCAATGGTTTTTCCAGGCGGCGCAACCTCGAACACGATGATTTTTCGATCTAATTGAACCTCATATAAAAAATTTCGATTATGGTCATTTGACCCCATAAAAATCCCGTTTATTCAGGTACTAGTATGTGTTGGAACACTATTTTTCCATAAAATATGGAATTTTTACCTCATTCTGGAAGTTCAATGAAATTTTATCTCAAATTTAACATGGTGTGTCAAAACAAATCAAGCCTTGAAAATAACGCCAAAAAGGGGAAGGGGTTTCCTTAACCAAAACGCTATAAAGTTTTGCCCCTGAAAAAAAAAAACTGGTATAGACCTTAGAGTTTTTACAACTGGCTATGGAGATACAATAAGCATCCAAAGTCTTTGGTTTTTTTTAACGCCAAAAGAGATTAAGAGAGAAAAGGGATGCGCAGTTAATGTCGATTTGTAGTCAAGGTGTGAAAAATCAATCACTTGAAGCATGACGTCGATCATGTGTTGTATATATTGAGCATTTTCATAAGAAAAATATGCTGGCACAATCAAGCGAGGATCTCTCCAAATGCATAAATATATATGTATTTGCAATATTTTATGCACTAAAAGCCGCTGTTCATGACATAGTCAAGTCATATAAACAAAACGGCTTTATATTCTTACTTGGCCCAAGGGAATCTCATCAAAATAAGTGTATGAGGTAGAGGAAGTGGAAAGCAATGACGTTGTCGGACGTCATGAAACTAAACGGTAACAGCTCCAGGTGATCATATAATTTTGATTTTATTTTATAAAAATTCGGCAAATATTGAACGTATCGAGCTGATTTATTTTAACATTACTTTATTGTTTGTTGTCTTAGAAAGCACTAACTTTATGATAAACCCTCGTTATTTACACATAATAATTGGTAGGATTTTAATAGTATGCACTTGGGTGATAAAATATGATCGCTCCGAAAAGGTTCTTCATGATTTCTCGTGAAATACAGCCGTCGTTCTTTTAAAAACAGTCCTTTGCATTGCCTAGACACAAAAACAGTGCAGCTCATATACAAGTAACGTCAATATTTTCTGTGCAATGTTATAACTCTCACGCGGAATATGATAACAGTATTTGTCAGCTCTTAGGCTGCATTTCCATGTTAAAAAGCCTCTGAAATCATGCATCATGAAAGAAAAGTCCTTCCAAAAAATTTTCAGACATTAATTGTAAAATAATTTTCTTTTCAATAGTAACAATTTGATATATTTAAAAACAAACAATACTTTAATATGTTAACGATGCAACCGTTAGGGCGAATGCAGATACCTATCCAGTTTTCATTTAGATCGGGCTCGTAAAATGGCACATGACTTTCGGTGCATCATAGACCCTGACGTCACATAACGTAGTAAGCATGTTTCTATACAAAACCGAAGTCTGAACAGGGCTGATTTTTATAAAAATACGCCTTAATTGTCAATTTTCTTGCAATGAATTCATTAAATCAAGTCAAGTTTAATATATTGACGGTGCGACAGTTAGGGCGAGCGCAGATATGTATCCAGTTTTCATTAAGATTGGACTCGTCAAACCGCACGTGACATTCGGTTCGTTTAAAACTCTGACGTCACATGACGTCGTGTGTTGCTTTACCAAACCGAAGCCTGAACAGGGCTGATTTTAATCAGCTAGTACATAACTATTTCCAGCAATAAAGAGATATATTCATTAAAAGCATGGCAAGTTTATTATTTGTTTAACTTTTGTCGTTATTCTCGCGAGAACGTTGTTTAAGCGTTAGTTCACGAAGCGATGCATTGTTGGTCAAAATTACTTCGGAAAAAATTCTATGGAATGACTGTGCAGTAGTCCGAATTTTCGCTTTGCCCAGGCGTTGTCGTTAGAGCTCACAGTAACTAGCGTCGCTCCGCGACGCTCGCTGCACTTGCTTTTATTCGATAAACTTTTGATGTTATTCTCGCGAGAACGTTGCTTTAGATGTTGTGTACGAAGCTATGCATTGTGGGTCCAAATTAGTGTCCGAATTTTCTATTCGCCTAGGCGTTGTCGTCAGAGCCCGCAGTGAAAGGCATGGCTTTGCGACGCTCGCTATTATCTTTCTTTTGGAAAGTTTTCTTTATGCAACATTTCTATTTTCGGCGATCCATTTCGACAAAACCAAGTGTAAAGAGCAAGATAAAACACATCTGTACGGAACAAATACTTTATCAAAACTAAACTTATTTATTTACATGGTAACAATATACAATACAAAGAACTCAATGATTGTCATCACTATTATGAAGTCATCACGATTGTGACGTCATTATCCAGGAATGTACAAAACACATTACATGATAAGAGTTAATTGTTATAGAATTTATAATATCCTCCGCAGGGCCAATGATTTTTCGGACAAAGGTTTTCTTCAACTGTTCTCGGTTTGTTTCCTCGTCACGATCATTTCTCCGGGCCATGAAAAAATTGCTTCTCTATTCACTCTAATGTACGAAGTATTCCTTGATGAACGCATTTTCTCTAGCATGATTTTGCTCCTTAAGCTGATCAATTTGATGATCCATAATTTTCATCTTCCTCTTCTTCTCAGTAATTTCATCATGTGACTTGATTAGATTCTTGCTGAATGTCCTCTCGACATCTCTGAAAGACGTACATGTTCTGTTGTTGTCTGGTTTCGGCGTCATCCTCAGAAATCTTCTTGTGGTCAACAATCTGCATGTCATGAACTTTATTATCTTTTCCGTAAAATTAAGAAAGATTGTTGGCCTCAGTGGTGT